TAATACATTGCACAGAAGTTTCTATTTTTATTTAAAATAAATATCTTATGATTGTAACTAGGAAGTGCTCATATTCTGAAATAATATAGATAAAAATGCTTAAAGACTTATTCTCAAGCATTCTTTATCAATTTATATATCTCTTGATATAGTTCATTACCTACTCTTCTATGTAATCTTTGTTATTATTCTGTAACCATTTACATTTGCAAATATTATATCCCTGAAAAGGTGACTTAAAATTATGTGTTAAAGATTATATAATGTGGCTGGGTGCAGTGGCTCACACCTGTAATCCTATTATTTTGGGAGGCTGGGGTGGGAGGATTGCTTGAGGCCTGGAGTTTGAAACCAGCTTGGGCAACGTAGACAAAGTCTCTACAAAAAAAACACAAAAAATTAGTTGGGCATGGTGGTGCATGCCTATAGTACCAGCTACTCAGGAGGCTGAGCCAGGAGGATCACTTGAGCCCAGGATTTTTTTGCCCAGGAGTTTGAGATTGCAGTCAGTGGTGACCATGCCACTGTACTCTAGCCTGGGTGACAAAGCGAGACCCTGTCTCAAAAGGAAAAAAAAAAAGAAGATTATACAATACATAGGTTTTAAAAATAATATCATAAATACTCTAACGTGTTACAGTTTATTTTGTTATCCATTTCTGCAGAAAGACTTGTAGATACAGAATACATCGCAGATTAGGGGAGTAAATTGACTAGAATTCTGTTTTTTTAAAAATATGGAGAGGTAAACACACTTGGAGTCCTTAGAGTCAAACTTTCATGGATTAATGTTCTGGTTTTGAGGAATTTTTGAAAAATGATGCTAAAAACCTTTTAACTATATTGTGTTTTTACAATTCTGGTGTCAGTGAGGATATTTCCTCTTGGTATATGCGACAAATTAAATTAAGCTGCAAATAGAGGTTTCTCATCAGTTAATCAATCATACTTTCATAGTCAAGGTTGTTCTGAGGCCAGATAATTTTTTATACATAGAAAACAACTATTGCAATACCCATTTGACATTAGAAGTGTCAAATTTTCAGTGATAAAGAACAGTGGAAAATATAAACTGATTTTTTACCTTTTCTCATGCTTCTTTTTAAAATGTAGTATCTTTAAAAGCATTAAT